TAGAATATCAGGATTTGGGCTCAACCAATATACATCAAAGCTTTCACTTTTAAATCTGAAATGATTTCACATTATTGCCCATGTCTTCCTTTCTAGTTATCTTGTTTCCTTACCAGGTGTAAAGAAATTATTTTTGCATTTGGGATCTGTTTACAGAAATTATTTTTGCATTTTGGGATCTGCTTATTGATCAATATCTGTTAAGGTCTACGCAACCTTTTGGTTCTTGCTCTAGGATTCTTTGGGTGTAAGAGACCACTGATTCAATGCAACTATGGAATGTGTAAAATAATTATCTGGTTCCTTGCCAGTTGTTGGTGCTTGGGAGGGGTGTGTTGAAAAACACACCCTAGAGTAGGACACTAATCCTACTCCCGATTGCTCCCTTTCAGACTTAACCAGTTATGTCTGACCTTCCACAAATACGACAACCATCACTAAAAGAAAAACAGTTATCCTTCTCCAAGCTGGGCCCTCTCACCTTTCTAATCTAAACTATGTTCAGCATTTGGCCAATTTTATCTAGCTGTGGAACTAAGACAGGTTCTAGCCTGCTCATTCCTGGATGAAAGACTTTGGGAGAATACTAGGGCTGTATAATTGTGAGGGCTTGTACTTATGGAGAGGGAAGTGGGGTGATGGGCTACTATAAAACCATACTTGTAATTTCTTTGCTAATAAGATTTTTTCCCCACTTCCACCCTTAAGCAAGAAATTTGGGCATGTGATGTATCACTGCCATTACCAGAAGAAGAAAAGTTCAAACCCCTTTTGGAAAACAACTAAAGAAAATAGAGCTAAGGAGAAAGTGTTGACTTTACCATCCTTAGGCAGGTTGCCATGAATTGCATCAAGAAGGCCTAAAATCTATAGCTTAGAACTCCTACAAACTCTGCTCTTGTGATACTTAGCCTTAGAAAACCAGTGGGCAATTTTTAGGCAATTGAGCTACAGTACAGGTCAACCATATAATTGGCCAGTTCTGCTTTTACAGCTTGATGACAATTTTGATTAGGTATTATGTGACTGGGGATCCTGCCGAAATGAGCAGGCTAAGAGTTTTGTGTCATGGAGGGAATTAGAATTCATTTTCCCTGGGCATCCATGTGATGTTAGGTTTAAGAGAAACCTTAGACACTTTTTTTTGCCCCTGCTGAGAAAATTATATCGCAGTTTCTTGGAACTTCAAGGACTATCATGGTTATTCACCACTGCTTGGAAATACAATTTTCTTTTCTTGCTCTAGTCACCTGAGGAAGAGTCACAACCAAAATGGGTGAATGTATCAGAAGTATCAGAGCCCCATGAAATGGAACATTTAAAAGGCCCTGGAGGTCCAGTAGGGCAGCCCAAAGCCAAAACCTCTGTGTCGGTTTGTTACTTTTCCCTGGGGATGAACTGGAGCGAAGGAAAAGGAGCTGTTTTGTCCAACCATCTGGGAAGAATATAAAGCACTGGGTCAAACCACCTCCAGAAGAGTTAAGACCCATCTTCCATGGGTCACTAAATCAAGCCTTTCTGAATTTTGCAAGCTTTAGTCTGTATAAACTCCAGTCAAGCAGCATAATTCTTGCCATGTCAAGGGAATCAAAACCAGGAGATTTAGGTTAATATAGATTGATCTGTCTCCACTACTCTATTCACAATAGTGTGAAATTGGACTATCGTGGTAAATCTTTCCTTCAGTTCCTTTAGGCCTAAACATACTAACTAAAATTGAATATAGAAGAGCTTTCTTATGAGCAAACATGCATAGAATTGCACAGTTAGTCATGGATTTTGGCTCTTTCTTCTGCTTTAGCAATAGCCACATCAGAAGAGAATATTTTTCCTGTCAGGAATGTAAGGAATTTCCTGTATGAACTCACGTTTTTACAACCCTATGACCATGTTTGGTCTATCACATCTGAGCTACAAAAATACAGATTATCATTAAGAGGTTAGCAAAGAAGTAAGCAAAAGCTCCAGTTCTTTGCTGCCATACAGCAGCCTTCTAGGTTTCTACAGCCCAGATATAGGAACAATATGTTGGACCACAGTGGCCAACCACACTCATGCAATAGCAATAGCACTTAGATTTATATATTGCTTTATAGTGCTTTACAGCCCTCTCTAAGCAGTTTACAGAGTCAGCCTATTGCCCCCAACAATTTGGGTCCTCATTTTACCAACCTTGGAAGGATGGAAGGCTGAGTCAACCGTGGGATTTGAACTGCCAAATTGTAGGCAGCTGGCTGCAGAAGTAGCTTGCAGTACTGCACTCTAACCACTGTTCCACAGAGGCTCCCAGTCAATCTCTAAGCAGGGCATAAAGCCATTGGAACCCACCCTCTTGTGTCCCACAGCACCTTGCCTGTCATGCTGAAACTCACATATAGCCTTAATGAAGAATAGTTACTTATAGTCTGAAATTACTCCAATATGACTTTTAAAGCTATCCAATCTGGAGAGAAGCTCCACAGCTTTTCTGGTGGGTGGATTCCACAGCGCAACCAAGTTCTGGGTGAAGAAGGGCATTCTTTAGTTTACCTCGAACCTCCCACCAAAGGGCTTCCTTGGAAAAGCCTTGTACCGCTATAGTCACTTTTGTGGTTGTTGCTATAATCACTCAAGTGGCATGCTTTGCCAAGAGTGCTACTTGTTAAAGCAATTTGGAGTTTTTCCCAAGTAATCTGAGTATAGCAAGAAAATAAAACTCTAGGGGGACATGGTCCAAATGAGTCGTGGCCAACCATCTAAGTCTTGGAGATGCATTCTGGTATTTAATGGATAATCGAGGACTTTGCGGGAATGGCAAGGATGGAATGTCATCACTAGCAAGATTGGCACTAGATTTCTCAGCTGCCACTTGGAGGGCTTTTTAAAAAAGTAAGAAAATGGTGTTCTGTGGAAAATTGGGCTGCTGCTGTTATATGTGACTGCTGTCAGATTTTGGTAGGGTAATCTCAAATGCAGCAGTGGGCTTTGGAGGCTGGGAAAAAAAGGACCCAGAGGGCTGTAGATTGCCCACCCTGGCTTGATCTAAATGAAAACTATTGGGAAAGTATACAGTAGGTTATTGGATTTTCTCCTATCACTGTAGCTTTGGAAGGAAGGAAAATTACATGGCTTTGTTCCTTTCTCTTACAAAGGCTCATAACACAGATATCCAGCTTCCTCACATATATAGCACTGTGGTTATTTTATTCCAGAACAGGATTGCACAAAACACTTGGCAGATTTAGGCAATACGTAATCACACCCTTCACACATTTTCAGAAGCCTCAAACTGCTTCCTTTTAATCATGTTCACCCTCCCACCCATGTCTCTGGAGGCTGTTGCTAAAGATGATGACAATTAAATGACCTAGGCAGACACTATCTATCCTGACAACGTTCACCCTTGGCCACTTGGGAATAAGTGATTTAATTATATTTCTGTGTCAGGTGCCAGGACTGGATATTTTAAGGATGCTAAGCATCCAATTATTGAAAATATAATTAATTATTAGTCAATTAATCAGATGGATGGATGGATGGACGGACGGACGGACAGACAGACAGATAGTTGATAGATGGATGGGTAGATAGATGATATATAAGTTGATGACATAGTTAGATAGATCAGTTAGCTGATGGATGGATGGATGGATGGATGGATGGATAGATAGATAGATAGATAGATAGATAGATAGATAGATAGATAGATAGATAGATAGATA